AGAAACAAGGTCTTGCCATGTTGTTTAGGCTCGTCTTGAACTCCTGGCATCAAGTGATCCTCCCACCTCGGCCTCCCAAAGTCCTGGGATTACAGGTATGTGCCACCACACCGGGCCTTCCCTTGCCTTTTGATTGATGACTGCTCACTGGATCTGACTGGCCTCCTTACGCTTCCTATCCACATGGCTGCATTCTCACCACACACTTTAAGTCGTGCCCAGCTATGCTTGGACTCAGTCATCTACTTGGGCCTCCAAGCTGGCCTTGAGATCTGGCAACCTTCCTCCTCTCTATTTGTGTCCAAGACCCATACAAAGGTCTAAGAAGCTAAACATGGACCAGCCACCCTCAGCACCGATTCTGGCTGAGCCAGCATTCAGAACTCCCTATAACTCACCCAGCCTTCCCCACCCCATCCCTCTCTAGTCAACCACTCCAGAGTCCCCCTTCTGGCAGGCAAATCTTGCTCTGCTCCCCAAACTTGCCTGGCTCCTTCTTGTCTCTGTGCCCCTGTTCTGTGCCCCATCCCCTCCTCAATGAAGCAATGTCCTCCCCTCCCCTCCCCCAACCCACCCATGCAAATCATAAGCTTCCTCCCTGGAAGTCCAACCAAGCTCTCCCTGCTCAGCGAAGTCTTTGCTACTTTAAGTTCCTGTACTTCCCTGTCACAAGCCTGGCACTTAATAACTAGCAGGCTGCTATCACTGTTTACCTTTTAATCTCATCTTTCCACATGACAGTCATTTCCTCATGAGCATGAACTATAAAGCACACTAAGAAACGGAATATGACAGCGCTTGGCAACATGAAGGAAGTTCTTAGGAAATAAAATCTTCCTAACTAGAACAATCCATTTCATTTTTTCATGATCCTTTCTAGCTCTTGCCCGTTCCTGCATGCATTTTTATTAATACGTGGTAATAATCATAATGGCAGACAGAATCAATCAGAGTTACACATACAGTTTTACATTCTGCTTTTTCCACCAACAGAGAAACCAAGTCTTCCTTGCTGGTAAATGGCTTTGATCATCACCATTTTTAACAGCTGTGCAACAGTCCGTCCATCGAGACACCAGACTGATTTACTGAGGCACTGACCCTATCAGACATCATTTGAAATACCTGTTGAAATAAACTTATCGTCCGTTCTCCCTAACACCTAAAATAATTCATTCCACTGTTTCTATCTCAATTGCTAGTGCAATTTTCTGCTTCCATTCTTGGGTGGGGAACCTGCGGCCTTAAGGCCACATGTGGCCTTCTAGGTCCTTAAGTGCGGCCTTTTGACTAAATCCAAATGTTACAGAACAAATCCTTTCATTAAAAGGGGCGCAGCAGAGAAGGATGAAGCTGTTCTTGCCTCCTTTCATGCTTAAACAAGAACAATCTTGAAATCAGAAGGCCACAGGTTCCCCACCCCTGCATGGTAGTTGATCTTACATGATTTAAACTCGGGAAATCCCTTCATTCCATACTATCTCAGCAAGACACCTGGCAGGCATTCAATAAATGTTCACCTACCTATTAAATTTTTTTTTAACTACCTAAAGTTATAAAACATCAAATTCCCGAAAAGGAGAGTGTAGCTGAACTAACACCGTCAACTATGCCTATAAAACTTTCAGCTCAATTAATGATTAGACTGGTTAATAATGTATGAATGGGTGTTCCCAGTGCATTTGAAAGCACACAAGAGTTATCTGTTGAGTTATACAGTCTGAATGACAACATTAAAAGACAAACAGTATCTGCAAATAGAACCACAAGATAGCCTGACAAAAGTTTACCCCTTTTTCTTTAGCGGCCTAGCTTTGTATCTCAGGTAAAGAAATGCAGAACTACATGTTGTAATATTAAAACTATGTAAAATTACATACATTAGCATGTGAATACAAACTAGAATGGAAGAAAAGTTGTAAGAGAACTTTTTTCCTTTCTACTTTTTGCTTGTTTTATTATTATATAATGTAAAAATTGGCCTGGCACGGTGGCTCACGACTGTAATCCTAGCACTCTGGGAGGCCCAGGCAGGCGGATTGCTCGAGGTGAGGAGTTCGAAACCAGCCTGAGCAAGATCGAGACTCCGTCTCTACTATAAATAGAAAGAAATTAATTGGACAACTAATATATATAGAAAAAATTAGCCAGGCATGGTGGCTCATGCCTGTAATCCCAGCTACTCAGGAGGCTGAGGCAGCAGGATTGCTTGAGCCCAGGAGTTTGAGGTTGCTGTGAGCTAGGCTGACGCACCGCACTCACTCTAGCCTGGGTAACAAAGTGAGACTCTGTCTCAAAAAAAAAAAAAAAGGTTAAAATATATAACCAGAAAAATATTCCTGACAAATTAGCCTTTACAACTTTTGCTATATTCCTGAATTAGGGCCTCATGCTTAATGCTGAAATAACTAAGTTTCTCAAACCCACATACAGTTAAGCAAAAAGACTAAAACGCTCTCACTTCCATAATAAATGTTAAATAATAAACCAACCAACCACCTTAAGAATCCAAACACTAAGCGTAACCAGACACTGAATCACGTGAAGAACTTAATGGTACACTAGAGGTTTCTGGAAATTTTCAGATATTCCTCAAAAGATAGCTAATGTGATTCCAAATACCAGAGTCTATACAGTAACCCATTCTCATCCTCATGTGTGAAGAGTGATTTATAAGTTTGCTTCCTGTACCTATAGGCTATGATAGAAACAATTAGGGCAAAAGTTTATTTGTCATACTTATGATTACTTAATACATTATTTTTCCCAGAAGTGATAACTATTCAAAGTAATGATTCTTTTAAAACATTATTGTAAAGGAATTGTTTTTAGTCTTTTTATACAAACTCTAGATACTAACTTTAAAAATCACTGACTTTAGAATTCTACTACATTGAATTCCATAACTAACTTTGATATTTATGTAAACAGCTACTTCATGACAAAAGAGAAAAAGAACTAATTTTAATTATCTGTGGTAAATACTGAAAAAAGAAGTTCCTGTGTCAGGAAACACAAGGCTAGGTAAGACAGGGCACTACGTGAATTGAGGCATCTCACCACAAAGAATGCACTTTTATTCCCAGGGTAATGGAAGCTACATGTAAACGTTAATTTTAAAATGAGTTCCACCCAAGGGCCAGCTAAAATCCATTCCACATCTAAAATTATTATTCTATGAGTTTGAAGAATGTTTTCAAAAATAAAAAAAAAAATAAATAAATAAAATAAAATAAAATTATTATTCTATGTACTCCTCTAACCTCTGACACTGACAATTATTAAGTCTTATCAATGGCAATTTACTAATATAAATAATTTAGGATCATTCTCAAAAAATGAAACCAATGGGGAAAGGGAGGAGAGAGGAGGCAAGGACTCTAAACATCTGAAAAAAGTCTTTTTGTGATGGTTAGCCGCCTCTCGTTAGCACTGACATTTCCAAATTTTTTGTGAAAAGGAAATTCTAAGAATGTGCTGAAACCACCCTTTCAGAATCAATTCTCAGATGTGTTTCATGTAGCTTGTTTTTTAAATCACTGTGATAGTAAACTGGAAGTTAACCGAAATAAAGATGACTGAATATTTAAAAATTGATGCTTCTGAAAACTTTCAGAGTTCTAAGTTATTTCACTCTGTCAGAGCATGGAACTAGTGAGGTGAAAACCGACACTCAACCTCGCCCTAGTTGAAAACTTAAAAGCAATTAAGTTCTTAAGGAAAAACTCACCTATCAGCCCTGAGCTGACTTAGCAGGAACAAAAGGACAAATCCACTCCAACAGAAGAGATAACTCCAAGAGAGGAGATAACAAACTTCCAACAGAAAGACAGAACCAACAAAGTATGTGCCAACTCCTCGATCTGTATGTCTCAATATACACAAAAGACAGCCAAGAAAAAGGAAAGCAACCTCTAATTGTCTACATAAAATTAACACCTGATTTTGAACAAAAGTGAAAACAGTGTATAGAAAATGAATCTGATACTTACGAATGACTCTGATTAGTTAAGAGTCTTATCAATTGCAAAGTCATCTCCTGGGACTCTTTAAAAGATCCCAATAATATGACCTTGTGTATATAATGTGTGTTCAAATATATTATCTCATTTAAAGTAGCCTGCCCAGCCACGCCGCTAAGTGAAGTACGGAGGCCAAGACCCAGGCCACCTCCTCTCCTGACTTGCAGCTGGGCCCTCTGACCGTCCACAGATGACTTCAATGTACCCGGTTTGTCCATCTGACCGTCCACAGATGACTTCAATGTACCCGGTTTGTCCATCTGACCGTCCACAGATGACTTCAATGTACCCGGTTTGTCCATCTGACCGTCCGCAGATGACTTCAATGTCCTGGGTTTATCGGCTTTCTCTACCCTCCCTGCAGACCTCATGTCAGAAAGATACAATTTCACAAGAATCTTGGCACTTAAACTATTTATTGTTGAGAGATGACGAAGAGGACTTCAAGCAAAACCAAAAATGTCTCAACCGTCCAAAAAGAAAAAAAAAACCACAGCAAAACATCCCTTTTACCCAACCCCAAAGTATTCACGACCGCCCCAGAGTGACCGTCCAGGTTAAAGGGACGAGGGCGACGCGCCGGGACGAGGGGCGTCAGGGCTCTCTCGGGAGCCGCAAACCCAACTCCCCGCCGCCGCAGGCCACGAGAGTGCGGGCGGGCGCCGCGGTGACAGCTGCGGGGCGGGCGGCTGAGGGGACGCGGCGCGGGGCGGGCGGCTGAGGGGACGCGGCGCGGGGCCCGGACGCCGTCCCGCAGCGGCAGGGGCGCGGGCGGCGCCCGGCGGAAGGCAGCGGAAGGGCGCGGCTGATCGGGCCGCCCGCGGGACGCGGCCGCCGGGGAGGGGCGTGTCCGCGCAGTCCGGGCGCCCCCGGCGGCGGCAGGGGCGGGGCCGGCCGGACCCCCACGGCGGCCCCGGGACGGGCGCGCCAGGCACCTGCCGCCTGCGCCGGGGCGGCCCGGGCGGGCTCGGCTCTCACCTCGTCGGTTCATCGGCCGGATCCGCACGGCCACTTTCACTTTGGAGTCCCCCATCCTGCGGACGCCGGGGCTCTCGCTCGGCTTCCGTCTGCCGCGGCCACCGGGCGACTCCTCGGGGCTGACCCGGCGGGAGGGGGCCGCGAGGGGCGGGGCCCGGGGCGGGGCCTGGTCCGGGGGCGGGGCTGCTGGGGACTACCCGGCGCGCCGCGCTGCACGACGGGACTTGTAGTCCCTGCGGGCGGGGGCCGGGAGCCTCGGGGCGAGCTTCGCGGGCCGGAGCTGGTAGCCCGCGGTTGGGGCGTTTGTGTTAATGAATGCCCGTTTCTTCCTGCACCGTGCTTACCCTCGCAGTTAGTATTGGGACGGGAGCCGTCGATGCGCTGGGAACTCTCCTGAAAACAGACAAGTGGAAAAGAGGGCGTTGGAGACCCCGCCACCCCCTCATGTTCATTTCCTGTCAATTTCAGGGCTTGCTGCCTGCTCAGGTGGTTCCCTCTGCCTGGATTGCCCTCCCTCCCTTGTTTGTGAGCTCGACCTTCCGGACAAGTTAAAAGTCACCTCTTCTGGAACTGTGCATAAATAAATCCACGTCTTAAGACTATCCTTTGAGTCCCCCTCCCTTGGGACAAGACCTTGGGCTAAGGAACCATCTGAGTTCAAATCCCACCTGGGCACTTCCCAGCCCAGTGACCAAGGGCAAGTTATTTGACCTGTGTTGACCCTTTCATACGTAAAACAGAGGCAGTAATATAGGCACATTTTAAAACAACAGGATTGGGGGGAGGGGGGGAATGGGCATTTATTGAAACCTTAAAATCTGTACCCCCATAATATGCCGAAATAAAAAATAATAATAAAACAACTGGATTTACTTATCTGTGTAACCTAGCCTGTAGGAGAGACCCAGCAAACATTATTGCATGAATGAATGAAGCCACACTAAAATGAGCTCCCTGGCAGACATGGCTAACTGGTAGCCAGAGGGCTAGATCCAGCCTGCAAACATGTTCTGTTTGGCCCAACTGTGTCAGCCAGCACATGAAAATCAGATTAGTACATGCAGTACTGGGTTTACATTTACATAATGGAAATAACTGGAATTAAACAGCATCAGCCACCTTTTTAAGAGGTAGATACCCCCAGTTCACCACAGCCCGGCTCCAGGCTGCTTTACCACTCATGCACGCAGACCCTGAGGGTTTGTGACCCCAGCTTAGAAATATTTAAATGATACTTCAGAATTCAAAACTATTTTACAGCTGGGTAAATCAGAAAGCTGGCCAGACTTGCCCTTTCATCAACCATCCTCTTGTTGAAAGATAATCAACACAAGCAGAGTTGTCAAAAAAGGTTAAAAACACCTTTAAAAGGAAGGAAATTCTGACACATCCTGCAATGTGGATGAACCTGAGGGCATTATGCTAAGTGACACAAGCCAGACACAAAAGAACAAACACTGTATGATTCCACTTCATGAGATACATAAAGTAATCAAATTCATAGAGACACAAATAGAGTGAGGGTTACTTGGGACTGGGAGGAAAAGGAATGGGGAGTTAGTGTTTCATGGGTACAGAGTTTCAGCTTGGAAAGATAAAGATGTTCTTGAAATGAATGGTGGTGATGGTTGTACAACAATATGAATGTATTTAATGCCACTGAACTGTACACTTATGAATGGGTAAGGCCAGGCACGGTGGCTCACTCCTGTAATCCCAGCACTTTGGGAGGCTGAGGTGGGAGGATAGCTTAAAGCCAGGAGTTGGAGGTTGCATGAGATATGATGGCACCACTGCACTCCAGCCTGGGCACAGATGGAGACCCCATCTCTTAAAAAAAAAATAGCAGTTAAGATGGTAAGTTTCAGGGGGCGGGTATATACATACATAGTAGGTGAGATGTGCACCATCTGGGGGATGGTCATGCTGGAAACTCAGACTTGTGGGGGGAGGGGGGGAAAGGGCATTTATTGAAACCTTAAAATTTGTACCCCCATAATATGCCGAAATAAAAAAAAAAGATGCTAAGTTTCATGCTATGTGTTTTTTTGCCACAATTTCAAAAAAGGTTGAAAATAGAAAATCGTACCCCAGAAAAATAGAAAATGCTATCCTTTTTTAAAAGAGGATTTCTTTCTTAAGGGCACCTCTGAGCCTCAGGAGGGCCTTCTCGGCTGAAACAGCAGGTTTAGCACAGCAGGTCCTTTGATTTTCACAGCCCAATAAACAAATAACATGAAGAGAACCGACTTAGGATTGCTAGCTTCTTAATTTTACCAAGTGAATTTTTTTGTTTGTTTGTTTGTTTGTTTGTTTGAGACAGACTCTCACTCTATTGCCCGGGCTAGATTGCCATGGCGTCACCCTAGCTCACAGCAACCTCAAACTCCTGGGTTCAAGCGATCCTCCTGCCTCAGCCTCCCAAGTAGTTGGGACTACAAACCCAAGCCACCACGTCAGTATAACTTTTTCTATTTTTTTTTAGTTGCCCAGCTAATTTTTTTTTTTTTTCCTGTTTTAGTAGAGACAGTGTCTAGCTCTTGCTCAGGCTGGTCTTGAACTCCTGACCTCAAGCGATCCTCCTGCCTCGGCTTCCCATAGTGCTAAGATTACAGGTGTGAGCCACCACACCTGGCCTCATTTTAACAAGTAAATTCTTAGGGAAAATAATGCACATAACAATTGCTACCTACGGTTCCTATCTTTTTTTTAAGGTCATAAAGGGCATAATTTTATATTGAAATCCTTTGGCTTGAAAAATTTCACTACTGTCCTTTTGCTCTTATTTAGGTTGAAAAAATGTTTGCCATGGCCCCAGGACTGATTCCCAAAGGTGAGTAATCTTGTCTTAAATATCTTTCCTAATTCCCATCTCACCACATTCCTTTATATTGTAACAAATACGGGTTTGGAATGCACCCAGCTTCCATCATACACTGTGTATCTATTTTATAACCTAGAAAATTTTGTTTTTAAATGGCATGCCCTGACGCTAGCTCGATTCTAGCTTTCTAAACAGAGGCAAAGCGGGCAGAAAAAGGGAAGGCCATGCGGTTTCTCTGGGAACATTGTATTAATACTTAAATTTAAGATGAAACTCAAAAGGGGAGAAAGCACCTAAGGAACTCAAGAAAGGGGGGAATATCATAGGGAAGAAGTGAGGACTTTCTCTAAAGTTCCCAAATCATTTGAATTGTTCTGGAAATATTTGATTGGTAGAAAAAAAGATGATAGCTTCCCTAACGACTCCAGGGAAAAACCCCTCTGGGCTGTTCCCCGTTTTGAACCGTACTCACACTCATCTGACTCCCTCCATGTCTGCAGCGAAGGAGAAGAAAGCCCAAGACTGAAAATGCCTTTATCTTCCCGTGGAAGCCTCTCCCTGATAAGCGAGGCAGAAAGGACTGAGGTGCGAGTTACAACCTGCAGCCCGAGGCTTCCACACCAGGTGAAACCGGAGGAACGCCAACGACTCCCCCCCCCCCAGCACGAGCAGGCTCCTACAAGAGAGGGAAAGTCCTGCTTTCTCCCTTTCCAGCTACTGTAGGCAAGAGATTGACAGAACTAGCACAGAAGGCATTCCTCTGCCCCTTCGCTTTGTAAAGCACGCGTCCTTAAGAAATCAACAAATATTTATGGTGCAGATGCCATAGCCAAGGCCTATGGTAGATGTGTTAGTCAGGGGGCCTCAAACTTTGTAAACAGGGGCCCAGTTCACTGTCCCTCAGACCGTTGGAGGGCCGGACTATAGTTAAAAAAAAAACTATGAACAAATTCCTGTGCACACTGCGCATATCTTATTTTGAAGTAAAAAAACAAACGGGCAAAACACCCACATGTGGCCCGAGGGCTGTAGTTTGAGGACACCTGTTCAGATTTTAGCTGTGTGCATAAGGAGTTCCTCATCTTTTGCCCTCACAATTTGCAAATCGACTCATTCTAAGACTGATTTCTAGTTTACTTTTTGTCACCTTGATGCACCCACCCAGCAGTTTCTGATGGTCTCTGCACAGGCCGAGGAAGCCATCACTTAACACGATGACAGCTGACATACATTGAACGCTTACCGCGTGCCAGACGCTGTCCTAAGCATTTTGCATGTATTATGCCATTGTTGTCCCTATCTTACAGATGGGGACACTGAGCAACTTACTTGGGGCATGCCGCGCTGCTGTGACCCGATCTCCGCTCGGCGATCTCTCGCGGTGGAAGGGTGCACGTGCAGACCATTGGGTTCACGGGACATCGGAAGATCTAATTTTCGCCATTCTACTTTCCAAAACAGTTTCTAAAATCCTATTATTGTTAAAAAAAAAAAAAAAATGGAAAGGGTGTACTAAGTTCTATTTTTTTGTCTTTAGAAAGGCGGAATGAGCTAATCGCTTCCTCCGGGCGAACTCCTTCTCTGCAGCCTTGATCAGGATTTACCTGTTTGTCTGAGATGCGTTTGCCAGCGCGCTAAGCTTTCCCAGTTACAGTCGTCGCCTCTCCACCTGTCTCCACGGCTGCACTGTGAGCTCTTCGAGCACAGAGCAAGGGCATTTCTTAAGTTGTTCTGTCTCCAGCACCTGGTACTCAGCAGGCACTTAACACGTTTCAGGGGCTGAAGATATTAACAAAGCAGCGACCTCATTACCTTGGTCAGATGACATGGTTTGCTCAAGCCACAGAGGTAGTAAGTGGCAGTGCTGGGCTGCAAACACAAATTTGATTCCAAAAATCTATGCTCTTTCCACAAGAAGGCCATCCCTACGCGTCCTCGTGCATATGTTTCACGTTCGCATTGTCGTTCCCACGTCGTGCATTCCTAACGGAAGCCCAGGTCTCGCTAACAGTGATGGTCACCTTCCAGCTGTTACTTATGGAGCGCTTGTCATGCGCCAGGCATTGGCCTCAACCCTTCACATGCGTGACCTCGTTTCACTGTCACGACAATCCCACGAGGTGGGTGCCATTGCTATGCCCTGGACAGAGAGGACACAGACTGAGGCCTGGGAATTTGCACACTGGCCTGGGTAAGAGAGGCCTGAACGCAAATCCCTGGTGCCCCTGTCCAGGCCGCCAGACCATCACCACTCCCCCGCCTCTTCCTGCAGTGTCTGGTGCTCCGCCAGGTCCCACAGCCTTTCAGGATACTCCTCCGTC